GAAGATCAAGAACGAGAACACAGACAAGGCAAGACTAAGGTGGGGCTAAAACAAACTAAATGGGTTTCGTAGTGTCGCTATCGCTAGGGGAGTGATAATCGCTAAACAATACTCGGCGGCGGGAAGGGATCAGAGTGAGTGTTAAATAGTGAGTGAGTGATATGAAACAGCTGTGTGCAATCAGTGCTGTGTGCAATCAGTGCAATGAATGATGGGATATGTATTCCGGGATGATATGCAACAGTGTGTAGTGCGAGAGTCAATGAAATGGGAAGGGTGACCTCTGATGGCTAGCAGACGGAAGTTCATGGACCGGATACGTGACAATTACATTTGATCATTTTTCTAAATTTCTAACACATGCTTTCAACTGTTAATCACATTCAAACATTTAGGGTTAACCTTACAGTAGGACACAACACTGATTACTGTCAGACTTTCAAAATGCTTCATCTCTTGAATTAAGATTATAATAATCTAATTTTAAAGCAAAGCACAGCCACCACAAAATCAGACTTTAGCACCTCTTTTTACTTTGAGATCGTTCTGAGGTTAAAAACAAAACCATAACAAGAAATAGTACATAACTAATACAAGAAGTAATTCAGATATAATTCTGTAAATTTAATATACATTCAATTATTTAATATATTGATTGTTGATATATAAGGAATATATTTTCTTTCTGTACGGGCTGAAAGCTAAGTCAGTAGGAAATCATGGAAGAGCAGGCCAAAGCAAAGTTCTTTATTGGTACGTTCACAAAAACAGTACACTGGGACGGGTTTGTAGTTTTGAAAAGGGTTTAACTTGCAGTTTAGTGCAGCTACTAAAAAAAATAGAAGGAGAAGACGAAGTCAAATCTCAACCACACAATGTACAATGTATCATGTTGCTTTTCTATACAGTACAAGCTTACAGGCCTCAGCATAGGTGTGATTGGCTAAATGCCCCTTATGTAATTGAAGGATTAACAGAGCGCTCTTAGCTCTGGCTAGAGTATCCGATGTATAGCTATACAGATTACAGAGGAAGAAAATCCACCTCTTGTCCCCCTGAATAAAAAAGCATTTGGGGTCTATGTGACAGAACTGACAAAGTCACTCTTTGTTGGCTTTGCTGTGACTCGCTTGCTCTTATCAAACATCAGCACTTAGGAACGGTTAACTTACCTAGCCGATAAACCACACCTCTGTGATAACCTGGCGTCCTCTCTCCCAGCAGCCTAAAACAAGATCCGCTGAATGACAGA